CCAAACATGGACACATGAAGTAGGAAGCTTTTACTGATGCTGATTGGGCAGGATGTATTGATGATAGGAGATCCGCCTCATGTTATTGTGCTCTAGTCGCTGGGAACATTGTGTCATGGAGGAGTAAGAAACAGTCTGTAGTTGCTAGATCCTTAGCTGAAGCAGAATACAGGGCAATGGGACATGGTGTATCAGAATTACTGTGGCTACGATCCCTTTTAGAAGAATTGGGGGTTGATTATGAGAAGCCAATGATGTTCTACTGTGACAACCAAGCAGCTATCAACATTGCACATAATCCTGTTCAGCATGACAGAACTAATCACATTGAGGTTGATAGACATTTTGTAAGAGAAAGAGTTTCCTTATGAGAAGTTTGTTTGCCATTCATCACATCAGACGAACAATTGGCTGATATCTTGACCAAGGGARTTCCRAGAGGGAAAATGACACAYTATATAAGSAAGCTGGGCATGATTGACATCTATGCTCAGCTTGAGGGGGAGTGTAAAGAGACTGGGCCGAATGGGTCCTAGTATTTTCTCTTGTAATATATTTTCTTTTTTTGTTGGTTAATGGGCCTCTCTTAATGGGCCTGTTAACAATTTCCTTTTGTTTAATCTCTTTATGTTACCGCCTAGCTGGCCGCCTACTTAAGGGCAAACTTGTCATTACTCTAACATTAATTCTTAATAAAAAGGATTAGAGGAGAAAGGGAAGATAATTTCGAATCTTCTTCTTCTTCCTTCTCTTTTCGCCATCTTTTTCTCTTGTACTGCTGCTCTTACTTCTCTTCTTCCTTTTTTCCCTCTAATCTTCAAATTTACACCTAATATTTGAGGACTGATTTACATATAATTTCACTATGAATTAAATTTTCAATAAAATATTTTTTTATTATTTTTTCAGAATTTTTTGTTAAAAATTCGCTAAAAAATTTTATATAAATTATGTGAAAATTCCATTGCTAATTTTCTAAAGTATTTTCTTGAACATGAATCGTCTCCTTTGACTTATAACTTCATTACAATGAACTTAATTTTTGAAGCATTGAGTGGTAGATAAAATCGATTAGGTTGTTTCCCTAGCTTTGTTAGTTTTCCAAGAGAGGAAGAAAGCAGAATAAGAAATGGATCAAGGGCCTAAAAATCGCTATGCATCAAGAAGATGAGGTTCATGGGTCGGGTTATTTGAATGCCCAAAACCCATCCAACCTGCTAGCTTCAATTACCAATATCGAACTAGACCAATTTGGTTTGCTCAATTCGGCCCTATTAACTGTCCACCGACTAGCTTCAATTACCGGTTCATACTGAACTAGACCAATCTGGCTTGATTGGTTTGACCCGATTATGCAATTTTGAGAAGAGCAAATAAGGGAAAATTTCACTAAAAGAATAATTTTGTTAATTAGAAAATAACAGAAGAATCAGAAAAAAAAGAGAAGATAATAGAGAAATTATTAACAATTTTGTTAATAGACAAAAAAATTCAGAAAATAAAAAATTAGAAACTTAATTTTTTTAATTAATTGATAAAATAAGATAAAATTTCACTAAAAATAATAGAATTTTTTTAACATATGAAAAGCAATATTTATTGAGAAAATATTAAAAATTGGAAAGTCATAGAAAAATAAATATAACGGAAAATTAAAAATCAACAACTTACTGTACATGATTAACTTATTAAGTAACTTATTAATTAAAATAAATTAACTAACTTGGTTTTATTAACTTACTCTACAATTAGTTGGAGTCTACCAGCAGAAGATCACATGCTCTTCAACCATTCTACCTTTTATTGGCTTACAACAATAGGGAGAATTATGTGGAGATGTGCTCATGCTGCCTTGATTTGGACTCTTTGGGAAGAAAGGAATATTAGAATTTTTCAAGAAAAGGAAAGGATCAGTCAGGAATTGAAAGACTATGTGTTAAATAGGGCAATACCTTGGCTGAAGACCTTGGAAATTTTTCATCA